GCTTCCTGCCCATCCCCCTTTGTCAATGAGCCATTAAAGCCTGAGCTAGTCCACTTTACATAATAAAGAGTTCTCCCTTTCAGCCTTAAAGTGATGGGATTAAGGCATGATAATTTTGGCACTTTACCCAACTCGCCACATGGCATCTGAGAACTCAATCAAACCTGGATTCAAAACGCAGCCTAGAGAGCTGCCCCCTGCATGGGCCCATGGGAGTCTGACAACCAATAAGAATACAAGCTCAAGATCAAAGACCAGAGAGGGCATAAAACCAAGGACTCAGCTTCCCTTCTTCCTTTTCCTTCCCTTCTCTTCTCCACCAACATTGAAGCATGTGATCACCTTTTCTGTTCAGGGTTCAAGCCATGTGGTCCTGTCCACAAATAAACCAACTTTCCAAGCAGCCTCCATGTCTCCAGTGTCTTTTTCCCCACTTGGAGCTGAACCCAGAAGGGTATTTCTTTCATCAATACTATTATGTGAAATCATTGCTGGTCTGGAGACCCTAAAGCAGTTTCTCAGCTTGACCACTTTTAAAATAGGTGGATTTCAACTCCCAGAATTCCCCAGCCTATTCCGTTCATATAAGATTGTACTTTATTGTAGGGGGCTTGAAAATCATTGTATAACTATAGTTCCTTTTCCTTTTCTTGCACCTTTCCCCTTTTTTTTCTTGCTTTTCTTTAGATGCGTCTTTTATTTCATGTAAAATGCTTAATAAGTATAAATACATATATTTATGCACCCAAAATACAGTCAGGTGTCCATGGGGAGTAGCCATCATAACTTCAAATTTGGGTTGTAGGTACCCTTTTCAAGGACTGCCGTAACTTCAACTAAGTGATGGTCATAATCAGTGGTGAAATTTAATTTTTTTTACTACTGGTTCTGTGGACTTGGCTTGGTGGGCATGACAGGGGAAGGATACTGCAAAATCTCCATTCCCTCCCCACTCCTGTGGCCAGCCAGAGGTGGTATTTGCCAGTTCTCCAAACTACTCAACATTTCCACTACTGGTTCTCCAGAACCTGCTAAATTTCACCCCTGGTCATAACTATATTCTGAAGCTGACCCTTCTAAAATTTGGAGAAAACACAGCTGCCCACATTGACATTGAAACCCCTAAAACAAATCAATCAATCAAATAATGAATTAATTAATCTAAAACAATTAGATTAATGCATACTGGGGGGAAAGCTTCACTCAAAAATAACTCTAAAAGAGAGTAGGAGCAACTGTGTTGCACATAGAATTAATTCCATTCCCTCAGTTTGATAAAAAGCCAGTTCAACTAGTTGCAGAAATTAACTCACTTGAGCTAGTAACTGGAAAGGAAGGTGGATTAAGCAACAATGAATTGCATGAAATACAGGGATGATTTAGCAATAAGCTAAAGCCCAAATAGCAGGAAATACTGTATTTTACGATTTCCCACGCTGGATCTCTGTTAAAAAAACAAACAAACCTCTTGTAGGAATCTGTTAGTTGTTTTGTTTTACTCAATCTCTTTTTTTTAAATTCAATCTCTTGTAAATCTCGTGACCCGTCAAAACTGCGGAGGACAAAATCGCGCTCGACGAAAGCNTTTACAGTCACAGACCTTATCTGGCTTGGAGAGCTGACAGGCCAATATCTGCAAAACTTGGCAAGGAGTCTCGGAGAGTCACGAACCAATTAAGCAAACTATTTGTCTCCTGCAAACTCCACTCCCCTTTCGCTCCTCTTTTATTTCCTCTAGGAGGGGCCATTCATCGTCAACCTGTGGCCTTACTCCCAAGTCGACCCCTGTTCTTTAGCTGCTCCCTTTGTCTGGCAACTCTGCAGCATGTGCACACTGGCAACAGGCTCCAGCTGTTCGTCTTCCTCACTGATGTCTGACTCTGAAGGCAGCTGATAACTGGCATACGGCCCTGGCCCCTTCTCTGCCTTTGACACAGAGCCCTCATCAGAGCCTTCCCCAGACTCCAGGACTGGCCCATGTTCCTCCTCAACCTCCTCACTGTCAGAATCTGCTGCCAGCTCTGCTGGCTGCTGGCAGGCCACAACATGTCCCCCTTGACTTTGTTGGTCAAAACTCCCCAGGGAAGATTGCAAATCATGTGACCACAGGATCCACAAACAATGTAATTGGGGCACAATTGAGCCCAAAATTTCCATTGTTAAGTGAGACATCTCTTAAGTAAGTTTTCCCCATTTTGTTGCCACGGTTGTTAAGTGAATCACTGCAGATGATACATTAGCAACCCAGTTGTGAAATGAATCTGACCTCCCCGTTGACTTTGCTTGTTAGGTCACAGAAGAGGATCACATAACCCTGGGATACTGCAACTGTCACAAATATGAGTCAGTTGCCAAGAGGTGTGAATTTTGATCGTGTGACCATGGGGATGCTACAACGGTGGTGTGAAAAATGGTCATAAGTCATTTTTTTTTCAGTGTCGTAACTTTTGAATGGTCACTAAATGAAACGTTGTAAGTTGAGGACTATCTACACATGCCCGTTGCCAAGTGTCCCAAAGTCTGATCACATGACCACAGGGAAACTACAACGGCTGTAAGTCACTTTTTCCACCACTGTTGCAACTTTGTTGTTAGATGAATGGTTGCTAAGTTGAGGCCTACCTATTCTTTATATGCAAATAAGGATATGAAAAGGTGGTTGTTACGTGTACCTGGCTCTAACAAAGGAGGCACACGCATAGACACACGTGTCTTTCAACCTTCTCTCCCCTAAGGGAGCTCTCTTCATTGTGGGTCGTGGCCCTGAATTTTCCAGGGCACAAACAGGTCTCTGCACACTTGACAATTCCACACAAGGCCCAAAGCTGTCGTTGGTGTGGATGGTACATGACAAAAGACCATCCTTCCTCAGGCTCTGTGTCTGATAACATACAATGCTGACTTCTTGGGATGATACCCGGAGGCAGCTGCCTGCAATTAAGCCATCGCTTTGCCACAGGTGGGCTTTGGTTCCAGAAGATAAGGGGACCGGGAATTGCAACAAATTCAGGTAAGTTTCAGCCAGCAAATTCCAAGTTTGCGGATGAAACGGGTGCAGCGAGATCAATTTTTGCAAGCACCCGATTACGTTCTCAATGTCCTCCAGAAGACGATAAATGGTGTATTGCAGATTAAGTACGGCTGTTACATGGTCGGTATTCGTTGCCCCGTTTTTCTAGATACAAAGAAAAAAAGAGTAAAGGGAGAAAAAGAGTTATTCTAATGTGGTTTTTTTTTCTTCTTAACTTCATTAATTAAGGTATTTGACTTCAACTCCCAGTATTCTCCAGCTAGCCAAAGCTGACTGGGGAATTCTGGGAATTGAAGTCCAGACATCTTCGACAGAGCGCCATGGCGGTGCAGTGGTTAGAATGCAGCACTGCAGGGCTAATTCACTGCTCACTCCAGTTCAATCCTGACCTGCTCAAGGTTGACTCAGCCTTCCATCCTTCCCAGATCAGTAAAATGAAGAACCAGATTATTGGGGGCAAGATGTTGCCTCTGTAAACCGTTTAGGGAGTGCTATCAAAGCACTGTGAAGTGGTATATAAGTCTAGATGCTATTGCTATCTTAAAGTGGCCAAGCTTGAAAAACGCAGTGCCAACATCTTCTTAAATCTAACCTCTGGAAATGACAAAATATACTTTCCCCAATAAAACAAGTCCACAATTTACTGAAATGGCAAGCTAAATTTTTTCCCAAGAATTTATCCAGTGTACAATTGGGTCCAGAAGCATTCCTGAAAACAGAAATTAATCTTAATGCTAGCACTTGACAGTACATTAATTTCTCTTATATGTTTATTTAAATTTATTTGCCGCCCATTTTGCTGCAAGCTTTTTTTAATTAAAAAGAAACTTAAAAAAGAATCGAACAGGGCATGACAGACATGAAAAGAACGAACCCCAGATATAGTGACATGTATATGTTGAGGATCCAAGCTGATCTATAAAGAGAAAAATAACTTAGAAAAAATACCAACCAGGTTTTCTGCAATTCTCATGGCTTCCTCGTGTTTCCCCAGATGAGCTAAACAGCGGGCCTGACTCTCTTTTAAATCTCTTCTCATGGCAATATTACTGGAAGGTACCAGGGCAAGGCAACTGGAATATTCCTGAAGGGCCTTCTGAAATTAGATTTACCAAATTTTAGTGTAACTCCAAATGCATGTATGGGTTGTGAATTGTGCCAAATTATTTAACATCAGGTGGCAACTGTACGCGATTAAAAGTAAGCATCGCATAGAGATTTACTTGATTTTTAAGTTCCATCAAACTCAAAAGGGCTCTTTTTACTAGAACTGGATTATTAATTCACGTGCCAAATAATATCATGGCCTTTCCAGAATACGTACGTACATATGTATGTATCTATGTATGTATGTATCTATNAAAAAAAAAAAAACCTCAAAAACCACAAGCAACTATCATGGTTTCCCACCTTTGGTAACCTTTCTCCCCGAATCATCTTATTTTTCTAGACTCGAGAGAGCCAAAGGGGTCATTGTGGCCAGCCACCTTCTCAGGATAAGAATCCAAATGAATGCATGTCCAACCAATGATGGTTTAGTCTCAACTTGACCATCAATTTCTCTGGAGAAACTGTTCTTAACTACCGATAGTTGTTTTTTTTTAATCTCCCTTCAACCTTCTACCAGAATCTGCCTTCCTGTAACTGAAATCTGTGATTCATCATCTTGCATGCTGAGAAGAGAGCTGACCAATCTTGATTCTCTTCTTAGGGACGACTTTTCAGGAACCTCAAGTTTCTCGTGAGGGCTTTGTTATGTTTGGAGGGAAGAAAACTGACATGCAGCTTAGCAATAGGGACGCCACGAGCACTTTTCTTTTCATTTAGTGACAATTCCTTCAGCCCAAAGAGGTCATAATTTTCTTTTTAAAAAAAACAAACCCGAACCTCTTTCTTTACAGGATTTTTGGAAGCAAACACAAGGCAATTGAGCGCATAGTCCCTTCAACGTGCCTCTTATCAGCAGATATTGGACAGCGGCTAACTTTCTGGAGAACTTGGGAAATCTTAAGTTCCAGACTTGCTTTTCCATTCCTGCTCCACAAGTGTGCATCGGGTGCAAGAGTCACTCTCTCAACGCTGCCTTCAACGTGGAGCAAACTCAAAAGTAGGCAATTGCTAGACGTAGAAGGTCAGCGCCCATCGCCTGGCAAGGCCAACCGCGTGGCAAGGTTGCGTTCTGACAATGCCAAGGACGTCCAGGTCAGTCAGATTTTGACAGCCTACGCCTAACGTGCCGCGGTGGCTCCCAGTTGTCGCTGTCGTCCGTTTCTTCATCCTCCTCCTCCTCCTCTTCGTCGTCCTGCTCGTCCACCATCTCTTCTTCGTCTTCTTCGTCAAACAGCTCAAGGCCAAGATCGGCTCGCCTCTGCTTCTCCCCAAACCACTCCCTGACCTGCTCGTAGCCCATGTGTGATCTCGCCACCAGTTCGTCGAGATCCTGTTCATTGAGGAACTTGTGTTTCAGGTAATAATCCTTGAGGATTGCTTTTCCAGTTTTAAACTTGATGACTGGGGTTCGGTCCCAAGTTTTGAGCCTTTTGTTGGACGTCAGCCGTCCGCGGGTGCGACCCCTCCCCCTCCCCTTGGACCTTCCCCTCCCCCTCCGCCTGGAATGGCCTTGACCATTGGCACTGTTTGCGTTGTTCCCTTGATAGTAGTAGTACCATTTCAAGCCGCCATTTTTCCAGGCGTAGCGAGTGTCCCCGAACCAACTCACAATGTCCGTTCGAGGAAGCGCCGTTTCTTGGGCCAACTTGTCATACTCCTCGGAAGAAGGCCACTGAGTTCGGATGAATGACATTTTGAGCATGTGCAACTGCTCCGGGGATTTTTTGGCCTGCTTCCCTGCCCTCAAAACTCCAGAGCCTTCACCTCCAGAAGTTTCCGCTGCAGCAATTTCTTTCTGACTCTCGGGATGACCTTCAGGCAACTCCTCACCTTCTTCTGCAGAACCGCTCGTTTTTTTCTGTTCTGCAAACCAAGCCTCGATCTCTTCCTTGGACAGCTTTGTTTCCGAACTTATCCTGTTCAGTTCATCCTCAGAAAGGACCGGGTGGTTGTGGAGACTGTCCTGGAGGACTTTAAGTTGCTCCGCAGTCTTGTCTTTAAACGTCTGAGCGCTCAAATCGGAGGCCGCCGAAAACGGTTTCTGGGGTGGCTGAACCAGCATGGGGGGTTCACTCGTTTCATCGCTGGAGTCAATAACGATAGTGCAAGAATCACTGTTCTGATTATTGTGATAATTGTGCTTTGAATTCCTCTGATTGTACCTGGTATCGCTGAACCATTTTTTAATCTCCCCTTTCGTCAACCCTGTCGTTTCCATCAGACGGATTATCTCTGAATCGAGAGGAAAGTGGCTTTTCAGATAGCTGACTTTTAATTCCATCAGCTGCTCCTTCGTCTTCTTCGCCCGGAAGGGAATTGTATCAATGTTGGTAGTGGCGGCAGCCACCACCACCTCCGATTTCGTAAGCTGGGGCGCGGGAACAGCTGCTACTTGCTTACTTTCGGGAACGGGCTGTGTAGCTTGGCCCTGGGCTTTTTGCAGTTGGGCTGGGTTTGGGACGCCTGCCATCGCCAAGGTGATGGGGGTCGTCACGGGAAGCGTGCCAGTTCCCGCCACTTGCGTAAGGACAAGGCCCGGTTGGCCGACGATTTGACAAGTCTGCAAAATGGAAGGCAGACCATTGCCAGCTGCCGAAATATGGGCTGGAATCACTGTAATTGTCTGAGGAACGGTATGCACGGTGCCGTTAAACTGCTTCCTTCTTGCCTCCTCTACTTCTTCCGGGGTCCAGCTCACGCCGTGTTTCAAGCGTTGGGCGGAGAACCAGATTTTGATTTGTTCCTCCGTGTATTTAGCTTGAGTAGCCAGGAGCGCGATTTCGGACACAGTTGGATATGGGAATTTATTGTAAGTGTTTTGCAGGAGAGGGTTGTTATCCAAAGCGGTGTTATAGGCTGGGATGCTATTAATAGGGATCAAGACTTTAGAAATTAAATTAGAAGTTGGTGGAGAGGCGAGAGTGGTGATCACCTGAGCAGGCTGAATCACCGCCGTGGGGTTCACAACTGTGGCGACCGCTTCCCCAGCTGAGGAATTATCTGTGTTGGTATCTGAACCTGCAGTGGCTCCTTTTTCTACAATTTCCTCACACTCCACGTCGGTGTCCCCATCTTTTTCTTCCGTGGGATCATCCTCGGCGGCGTTGTGAAAAACCACAATCCGCTTCGTTTCATTCTTATTCTTCATCATTTTCATAATGGGTGTTTTGCTGATGGAGATGCCGGTCAACTGGCTTTCCGAGCCTTCCGATTCTTCTCCCGTTTTATCCTCTTGGACGAACCCCCCGTCAAAAGTCAGGTCGTTCACCGTTTGCTCGAAGATGGTTTGGTTGTTACGTTTGACCATGTTCAGTTTAAAGTTCTCCTCTCCGGGATGGTATTTGGTATTATGTTCCGAAAGAGCATCATACCGTTTGGTCACAAATTTGCATTCGAAGCAGACGTAAGAGGAGCTGAGGACCACGTTGGGATGCTCAGAATCCACGTGGAAAGTAAACATGTTTAAATCGGGAGTCTGGAAGGTACAGTATTTGCATTCGTAGCCGCCTTCAACTTTTTTATTTGGCTGGCTGTCTGAATCGGCACATTCTCCAGAGTTGTCATCGCTTGACACGCTTCCCGCAGAGTTCATCGCCGGTACGACCTCCTCAACATCCGATATGGCTTCTAGATCCATCTCCGGCTCTCTCGCTGGGACCATGCAAGGCACGGTGGATTTTCGTTTGCTCGCCATTTCCCTCTCTGACGAAAAGGCAACGAGCCAAACCCAATTCAAGTTTCAATCCTTCAAGCTTTCCAAGAGGCTTTGGGCACTACAGCCCTGCAGGGCGGCTTCTCCCAATTTCGGCCCTTAGCAGCATCGTCATAGTGCAATTCAGTCAGACAACAATTTGCCGTCCGAAGGAAGAGGCAACGAGCAGCAACTTCTTAACAACTCTCCGTGCACCCTGGATTTAAAAAAAGAAAAGGGAAAGGGGGAAAATGAGATTTCTTTTTTTTTAAAGACGTTTTCATTATAGGACGACATTATATGAGGACATTATATGAGGATGCATTTGAATCAATCTCATTCAGATTCTGAAAACCAAGAAAGACATATTGACCTCCTTCTAAGCTAGGGATCCTCAACCCCCAGGCCACAGCTGATTTGGAACCAGCAGGCAAGCAGCAGGCAAACATACACACACAGAATGCACCACTTGTGTGAGTGGTGTGAGTGCACGGGCATAACTTCAGTGGTGTGAGTGGAGGGCATGTGCACCCGCTTGTACCAATGGAGCCGTGTGCATGAAAGGTGTGAGCATGGGTGGGATTCAACTAGTTCAGACCGGTTCGGGCAAACCGGATGCTAATTTTACATCTGGTTCGCCGAACCGGTACTTGCAAGAACCGGCTGGCCCCACCCATCCTGCTGCGCCCATCCCAGGAGTCTCCACGCAGCCCATTTTGGATGTCAGGTAAGTGCAGGGCCCAAACGGAGGTTCTGGAGGGTGAAAAATAGGCCTCCCGGAAGTCCGGAAACAGGCTCATTTCCAGCCTCCAGAGCCCGAAGGAGGCTGTTTCTGCCCTCCCAGAGGCTCAAGGAATGCCTCCAGAACCTGGGGAGGACAAAAAATGGGCCTCCGGGAACTCCAGAAACGTGCTCGTTTCCAGCCTCCAGACCCCAGGGGAGGCCATTTTCGCCCTCCCGGAGGCTCAAGGAAAACCTCTGAAGCCTGGTGAGGATGAAAATGCCCCCCTCCCTCATGGTGCAGCAGGCTGAGTAGGCCACACCCACCATGGCGACACCTACCCACCAACCTGGCAGAGATCCGGTTGCTGAAAATTTTCTATCCCACCCCTGGGCGGGAGTCCTGCCGCTTGTACAAAACTATCTCCTCTTCCCCCTCCCCGCCAGTCCACCAAACTGGAACAGCTGTTCTGAGCCGTTTCCTTTATTGTTCCTCATGTATGGAGAGAAATCTTGCCAAACAGAGGTCTTGCACCATAAAACACTTACTCTGGGAACTCCTAGGGAGGATTATCATCTGGCA